CCCCCCCCCCCAGTGCCACTTATCCAGGTTGTCTAATATGTTAACTGGGGTGCGACTCACAGTTTTTACCACAAAAATAACACACAGGGAGTGTACTCACAGGATGTTTGGAGCCGCGTATGCAAAACGGCCTCCATTGTTTGTTTTCTGTTATGCAACTGTAATTTGTGACACCAAATGAAACGCAAGCTTCATAACTTCCTATCAGTCTTGTTACAATGAGTTTGCTGAGATGTGAGTGCACGGTGACGTGTGGAGACGGGGAAAGAAATGCACACAGACGAGTTAGAACGCAGCGACGGGTCAGCCAAACTTATTTGGAAGAGAAAATGAATATGTAGATTCTATCCTAAATTTAAGCTGCTTCATGAGGGTCGCCAAAAGGTAGTTTTTTTTTTAATATTCTGTTAATTAAGTAATCTAACTACATGTTAGTGTTTGGGAGCACAGCCATTTTCTTCCAATAGATACATGTTCATTATTTTATAGGAAAGAAAGAGTTTATGAGCCGCTGGGGTTCACTGTAGATTCAGATGAGCCCAGATGTTCTCTTGGATCGCATACGCTTATGAAACAAAATGTTTTTCTGTTTCTGAATGCTCATTCTAGAAGGATACATGTCAGAGAGCGTTTACAAATCTTCAAAATCCTGTGTTCATCAGGTGTGTCAGATGGACATGTCCAAGCAGCTCCAGGCCTACGAGGTGGAGTACCACGTCCTGCAGGACGAGCTGCTGGACACGCCCCCGACCCTCACCCAACAGCAGCGAGCCGCGCAGCTGGAGAGGACCAATCAGAGCCTCCGGCAGCAGAACCTCGACCTGCTCGAGGAGCTGCAGGTAAACGCAGACACACACAAATAGAACCGAGTTATCTCCTCCTTTACCTCCATGTCAACTATCACTCGCTCCCCCCAGGTGTCACACGCTCGCGTCTGCAGCCTGGAGAGCCGAGTGGATGCCCTGGCCCAGTCGGAGGGCCAGCTGAGGGAGCAGGTTTCCGCGCTGGAGGGGGAGAAGGAGCAGCTAGCGAGCACCGTCGCACGCCTCCGGGACCTCCTCACCGGCCTCGGCATACACGCAGCCCCCGACGGACGTGCGCTCCCGCCACCCCCTGGACGAAGCGCAAAGACGGAAGACAGCGAGGGGCTGGCTATCAGGACTGCAGACTCCCTTCTCCACCCTTTGGTTCTCCCAGAAGGCTCATAACCGCACCCCAATAATTTCCCAAATGGTTAAGGTCGAGCGGAGGAGGAGACGGTCGTGGGAGACCCAGGAGGAGACTCTCGTGAGAGACGTTAAGATGACTCCCTACCTCGACCTTTGTCCTCTCCCCGGCTCCAGAATGTTAATAAGAACTGTAAACTGGACCTAAAGCAAAGAAAAATAAAGGATGGCACCCTTGAGTGTTTTATCCCAAAGTGCCCACTTCCCGCTGTCTAACAAATACAAATGAACATGTGATTCGAACAACAACAACCACCAAAGGTAGCACTGTCCCACTGGGCCTCTACTGTTTGCTCCTGTATGTCTGTCCGCGTCTCTAAACGTCTGTCTCGTGTGTTTTATGCTCCTGTGTCGGATGCAACAAGGCTAACGCAGCCAAAGAATGTCATTATTATTATTATTATTATTATAAAACAAGCTTGAACAAAGATTCAGAGCCTGAAACAACACGTTTCTGATCGCGACTACACATAAGTAAAACAAAGATGTTTCCAAAGAAAAAGCAGTGTGGCAACAAAGTGAGATGAAGGGGACGGGTGAAGAAATAAACATCATGACAGTGTTTTTTTTTTTCTATTATATAAGTTGAATAGACATAAGCTAAAGTATATCAAATCTTGGACGGTGGTGCTCATATTCAGAGGTCAAAGGTGAACCGTTTTTTGATTTCTCCTCCGTATTTATGTTCTTCCTCGGTTGCGTATCCTGATCCAGTACGTTTTCAGCTTTAGTCACGGTTGCGCGCAGGAAAAGTAACACAACAAACAGTCCATTTCACTTCCCATCTTTTTGCTCTTTGAACACACGTCGACCCGTCTGCGGCGAAAGGGAAACGGATGCCGTTTCAGCAAAAAAAACAGTAGCTGGGCCGCCCCCCCGGTGAGGGGAAGTACAGACTTTTACACATCAATTGATTTCAATCCCTTCAAAACACACTTCTGTGAAGCTTCAAACGGGGAAACCTCCGCTGTTGAGGCGATCTGTCAGCTACGAGTCATTTACTGTATTCAACACACTGAATTCCTTGGACCCCAAGGGGCAGCCTGGTGTGTCCCTGTCTAAATGTGTGCGTTGTGCCATTCACTGACAAATCTGTTGATTTACACTGTAAAGATATTAAGCTTTTACTCATGACTCTGTCTTGCACATGTATTGTGTTTTTAATTGATTGATGCTATTATTGTCATCCTGTACCTTAAAATACATTTCATATCCTTTCAGCACTTCCGTGTTCTGTCAACCTGTGTGTGTGTGTGTTTTTTGATGACGGTGTAGATCGTACCACCTCGCGTCCAAACATGCCTGATTTGATTTGAGGTTTCAAGCGTATGTGAAATATACCATACACAGTATTTAAAGCACAGACATGCATTTGTGTCGAGGAACTCCTCCTCTAGTCGAGGAACAAGGCTCTGATGGTGTGTTAAATGGGCTAGTTTTTCCAGGTAATGGTGACCTTTTGTTTAGTTATTTGGAAGACTGCGATTCCTCGAAGTCGGGCTCAGAGTAACAGGATATGATTACACAGAGCTTGTTCTCTTCACATTCCTAAACGTGTTTGAGGACATGCGAGTACATCCAATTATCAAGCAGCTGGTCAGGGTGAAGCCGCCTATATGTCAGGGTGTTTCTGTGTGAGTGCATGATCATAATTAACAAAAATAGCCGTGATGAAGAACATTACAGTACAGTTTTCTGTGCTTTGAAATATTAGTGACATTCACAAATAGAAAAAATTCCAAAAAGTTGCTTCAAGAGTTTATCTCTCAACAAAAACCGTCCTGTTGACTAATTCCCATCCTGCTGTGTCCCGATTCTATACTTTTCTTTATAGTTTTGCATTTTTACACTTGGTATACAAGCAAAAAGCTTATTAATGCTTATATTAACAATAGATTAAAGGACTGCATGTAATGTGTAACAAGACGCTCATGGTGACAAAAAACAGGTTTTCACCAGACTGCAGTTTTTCTAGGCTCGTTGTTTTGGTTGTTACGAGCTGCAACTTTTTGTTCACACTTTCATTCGCGCTGTTAAACGCTGCAGCTGTTTTTTTGTTTTTTTTTGTAAAAGCGCTACTGTACGCTAATGCTCCAGCACCAAATGGCAGACAGACACAGTTAGCGGCCAGCTGGTGAAGACAGTGGAGAATTTAGCGGCTAAAGAGCCAGATTATCCCCTCAAGAGTTGGTGGAGTCCAAAAAGAGACTGAATATTAAACTTTGTACATTCACCAGTTGGCCAGAAACTTGATAATGTTGCTCCGTCACTGCAGTATTTGTAAATAACTTGCTAACATGTTCACCAGACCAACTTAAAAGTCTGGTTGCAGGAACCAAGATGGCGACGAGCAAAAGGCATAGACTGCATATAAGAAGTCGTTGTCGTCGTGACGTCACCCATGATTTTGACTGCGACTTTGAAGCCTTGAGTTCGGCATTTTGTCCGTTGCCATATTGATATTCTGCAACCAGTGAACGGAAGAGACCATATTTGGACTGCGGAGGAGTGACAGAGATGCCGTATATGTCTCTGGGTCAGTCAGTCAGCACATCTGTTTCTAAGAAAAGCCAATGATTTTTCGAGGAAATTGCACATATATTCCCTCTTTGTGCATTTCAACACCACTGTCTGTGAAAGTGTCTCTTTGTTTTAACACCTATCTCTCTAAGCCCTCCCTAAAATGCCAAGTCTGTTCTGATTGACTTGTGAGGGAAATATGGTGCCCCTTAACACCTTTGTGTGAACTCAGATGGGGGGCAGTTTATTCTAATGAGCCTGCATTTGACAAAGGGAAGATGAGCCAAATCTGAATGGCTTGATGAATCACGTGTTTTTCTGATCTAGGCAGCCCACAAAAAAAAAAAGACTGGGTTGTCTTATTTGAGTTTTTGGGCTGGTAGTCACTCCAGATATCCAAACGTTTGTGCACAAGCACTGAAAAGGTTTCTCATAATATGTCCCATTTCATGTTTTGCAGGTGTGAGTTGTGCCTTCTTTTCCTCTAGGTACAGTGTGCAACGCATTGGGGGTTAAAAGGTTCCATTTAACAGCACACTCCCAAGTGTTGTTTAGCAAAAGTGCTGCTTTGCCCTGCCCTGCCCCGCCCCCGTGGGCGAGGCCAATACTTTCTCCACAGGGATCAACAAAAGTATCACATTGTTAATATCCATAATTAGTGCTGTCAGCAAACTCTCACGCCGATCACTCTGCTTTATAGACCGAGCTCAAGTCTTGATCCAAACCAAACACTCCGGCTGAATGGAGATTTCCATGAAACGGCGGCGACAAAGGGAGTCAAGTTCTTGACGTAACGCCCAGGAGCCGGACACGCCCTGCTCCGCTAATGAGAACGCGCATGCCAGGCCACGCCCCTGCAGGTCACCACCATCGCCAGCCCGGCTGAGGCTTGATGCAGCTAATCTGTGATGATCTCCTGGATGCTTATCTCGTACATCTCACAGGCACACACACACGAGATGGGCAGCATCTCGTGTGTGTGTGTTCGAGGCAAAGTTATTAGGCTGTGTTGTTACAGCAAACATTTTGTGTGTGTGCACCTGCTGTGTCTTCTACCAGGTTGAAAAGGGCACCGGCGTGGTGCAACGGCCCCTCACGTGACTGCGGTTGAAACTGCATCTGTGGACAGATTTCCTTAAGTCTCCGGTTGAGTGAACCGAGAGGGGGCAGGATCCCCCGCCGTCTGAGAGTGCCGCCTACGCCGTGTGTAAACAGAGCGCATGTGTGCAGCGAGTGTGTCTACGTTAAAGTGTGTGTGTTTATGTGTCTCTCTCTCTCTGCCGGCCCGAGCAGACTGCCAGGGCGTGTGCCGCTGCACAGAGTTTTGTTTTGTTTTGTTTGACTTGGCATCTGTTTACCGTTCCACACTCACCTCAGTGCCCTGCCCTGCCCTGCCCTGCATCGAGCTCCACCACATGCCCCGGATCCTCCGACAACCACGATCCAACACACTCCAAGTCAGCCTCAGAGAGGGAGACTCAAGCTGAGGGTGTGATAATAACATCGAGTGTACAGAAGTAGTTTGAGGGCAGTTGATGAGCGTGAAATCAGAGGTCACCGAGCTCTGTTCTCCTCATTCTAATATCTCTTTTTTTTTTTTACAGATTCTGTGTTCATACATAGAATTTGTAGGCAACGGGACAAGACTTTGATGTCGCAAGTGTTCTGGTTTCAGTTTGTAGTCCGAGTTGTATTTGACTAATCAAGTTGTAGCAGGCTTTGGTAGAATGCAGGTAAACGGAGCAAAAGATGCAGAACGCATTGCAATCCGGGAACGCACCGGATATCGTCGACGATGATTTAGCTTTTGATTGGTTTAAAATCAGCTCGTAAACTGGCTACTTGTGAAACGATTCAGATGTACACGTTGTCTCCCGACTCCTACTCCAGTCTCGCATCTCAAATTGCTAAGCAGTGTACACGAGCAGTGCACGGAAAAGGAGGTCTTGGCCCTGATATGCCCCCCCTAGAGCGATAGCCGATGGGTTCCGAGATTTCCCTCCATCTGGCAGAAAACCTTGCAGCTCTCTGAGGCTGTTCTTGGCTAAATGCTAACATCACTCAGCATGCAAAAACGCAGACAACGGCAACAGTCCGTATTTCCAACATATTTTCATGTGCATTTTGAAGTATCCACATTACAAAGACTGTAAAGAAACGGCAACATTTTATAAAACTTCAACTTCCTCTAAAGCTTGTTGAAGCTTTAAAAGTTGCTTGCTAAAAATGCTTGCCGAAAAATAGTTGATCTGCTCAATGGGTTATGTAACCGCCTTTGCTGAATAAATTCTGACATGGAACATTTATCTTACATGACTGATCAACTGTTTCTGCTGTTGACGTCTTTCCAGATATTCCAGCAACGTGCCAACGCTTGTCTTTGTCTCTGTAAAGCATGAAACATGGCCAAAACTAGCTGACATGAAAGAACAATTCAAACGTTGCAATTGAAACCTGAAGACCTTTTTTCTCTCGTAGAGTTAGATGGCCAAGGAGACTTGTTTTGTTTTCTACTCTGTTTACTGGCGGCTTACAGTCATGTGTAACGCATAACTAAACTAAACTGTATTTTCTTTGCTCCAAACCAATTGAAACATGCATAATTCACATTTCCTTTCTGTGACATTTCAAAAGTTAACTTTAAATTCGTTTGGCGGTCGAATGGAAACACTGCTAATGACTAACATGCTGATTTTTCAGGTATAAAGGTTACTAGTTCACCTGAGTTTAGCGCGTTAGCGTGCTAATATTTGCTTATTTCTGCGAAAAACAATTACAATTCATCCTGAGGGGGACATGAATGCGTGTGCCATATTTCTTGGCAATCCATCTAAAAGGTGTGACGTTCCACTCAAAACCACCAATGTCAACCTCACCGTGGTGCTAAAGGAGAAACTCACTTTGGGATCACCCAAGTTGGGAGGATTTATCCTCTGGGAACCATGAATGGCTCTACCAAATTGCATGGCAATCCATCGGAGAGTTGTTGAGATATTTCAGTCTGGACCAAAGTGGTGGACAGACTTCCCTGGAGCTGCGCTGCTAGCAGGGTTTCTTCATCAAAGGCTCACCTTTACACGCCAATAAACTCCTACAACTTCGAACAGCACATCAAGCGCTAAGATGACAGTGCACTGGTCAGTACAAAAGGTCGGATGGTGTCAGTAACGGCTCATAAAGCACTACTGCAACTCTAAATCTTGATAAGCAGCTACTTTACCTGAAGCACCCGGATCATTCAGATTAATGGAGGCCATAAAGACGGCTCCTGCTCATACCGGACCTGCTCCTTCTTCTCTGTTTTATTGTTTTGCACAAAGCAATTAAATAAGAAATGCTAATGAACAAGTTTAAGTCTGGAATTAAAAGAATGTTTTGACTGCAGTGCTGTTGTTGGCATTCTTCAGTCACTGTTCCTGTTTTGTTTTTTTGGCTAAATTGTTAGTTATGCCATTGATGAAAGTAGTTTCTGTCTGCAATGACACAGAGGGCCCCATCGTGCCCATTTCAGTGTCAAGAAGCCAAAGAAATCTACTACGAAAACAAAAACCTTAAAATTCAGCAAACCATCAATTTATTGATTTTATTGGGGAAATTTCACATCCATAAAGCCAAGTTCTCGCCTATCATTTGAACCCTTCAGGATTGACTTTAATAAGCTGCAGGATTTTTTTCTGATGAAATGAGATGTATTGCCTTCTCTGTTAAGTTATTATTTAT